AATTGAAGGAGAGAGGTCATCTCAGAAGGTTATGGCCACTGCTTTGTAGTATTCCAAAGGGATATTCTTGAAGCGTTGATTAAGGAACATCAAGCAATCATGGAGGTTTGTTAAGCAGAAATTTTTTTTTTAATTGAAGACTATTGACGAGAAAGGGGCCAGGAGAGCTGCTCCCAGTACTTCTTCCATCCCAAGTCACTGGCTCATTCTTTAAGAGGAGCAAGGCTGTTTGGAATGTCACCTGGAAGCTTCTCCCACACACACTCCAACAAGACCTTTCCTCTCAGAGACTCAGCATTTAAATGACACACAGTTTGAGGCCTTGGAGGATGCCATAGTATAAATCAAGTAGCATAGAATTCTTTGGGGGAATGAAAACAGAGATGGAAACAATGCTGTCCAAAAGTGTATAGATCTAGCTGGAGGATATATAAACACACACATCTCCCCATTACACTGTTTTCTGTAACAGCCTTATCAATATGAAATTGATATATATTTAAAATGTAAAATAAAGCTTGCTACACAGATTAATGGTCAAATGACTGAACGTGATGCGATTGTTAAAGTGAGAGGGCTTAAATCTCTTATAAATCTCTTGATGACAGTGGGTTTTTTTTTAAGATATCTTATGCATAAGGTCACTGTGAGAGTCAACAGCAATTAATAGCTTCAATTCAAATCTAACATCAATTAAGCGGTAGAAAGTATCTCAGGGACTGGACTATGAAGACTTTATTTTTTAATGGTAAAATGGAAGCTTGAGGATTGACAACTTGTAGTGAAATTTTAAATTATTTAAGGTGAATATTGATGAATTAGCCAAAGTTTTCCTGGTTCTCCTGTAGAACAGAACTTGCTAGGGAGAGTACCTTGTGTAAATTAATCTCCTTTGTGCCTCAGGGTCAGTGGCCAACATTGTAAACTCCTGGGAGGAAACATGGAGAATCTATAATGGAATGCTCCTGTCTTAGAGTCTCCTGTATGAAGTCTATCTCATACCTTTGATTACTGGTTGGAGGGAGGAAAAGATAGTAAAGTAACTTGTTGAGACTGAAATGTGTAAATCGAATGCAATAGCATAGAAAATTGTGAATGCCATCCTGTTTATTTTCTTTAGTTATCTTTGATAATGAACGTCTTTAATTAGAAATTTGTTCTGGGAAATTTTTCATAAGTTACTTTGGTTGATTCCGTAACTTTGGTGCTGAACTAGAAAAGTAATGTTTTTGCACTTCTTTCCTGTAAATGGCTTGTAGAATATAGTTGCATAAGACCACCTCGTAAAAAGTTAATAAAGAAATCTTGTTTCAAACATGGAAAAAGTAACTCATTTTACATATTTGTCATAGCTGATGTTTTCTCTGTAAGTGTAATTGTCACAAACAGTGCTTGGATCTTTTGTTAAGGGAATAGGGCTTTGCAGTTATTAATCACTTACACTTTGTTCATTAGTGATAATGTGCAGGTTTTTTCTAATGTAAATTAAAGTTATTTTAAGCATAATTTTAAGTGTTTGTCATAAAAAAAACCAAACTCACTGCCACCTAGTTGGTTCTGACATAGTGACTGTATGGGGAATTGTAGAACTGCTCCAGTGGGCTTCCAGAGAGTAGAAAACCTCTTTATTGTCCTCATTCTTTAACTTTTAACATTTTGCTTTTTAATCATACTTTTTAAAAGTCATATTACTTACTTTAATGGTAACTCTTGGTTTGTCCATGCTGTTTAAAGACTAATTTTCATAATTCTTAAATGCTTTTAATAGATGTCTTTTTCACGTTGAAAAGCCAGAGTAATGTTACTATTTTTTCCAGCTCAGTCACATTCGCTGCTGTGGCCGTCCAGTTGAATCTGACTCGTGGTGCCTCCATAAGCGCATCTCCGTTTCGTTTCGTACAGCTGTGCTCCATAGGGTTCAGGCTGGTTCCCAGGGTCTCCTGGGTGGCCTCAAACAGTCAACCTTTCTGTTTGCAGTGGAGCACTTGACCATCGTGTCCCTGGGATTCTTGCAGGTTTCTCTTAGCTGACGTCATGTCCTTTCCCTCCCCCGGATATTTGATACTGCGTTTCTCCCTACCAGCCAGGAATCACCTTGTTTTTCTATCTTATGCTTTTTTCCATTTCCATTTTGTTACGGACAAATGTGGGGAAGATATTAAGTTGATTAGAAGAAAAATAAACTTCAAGGTGTGTATATAACAAACATTTTTAACCAGAAAAGCATTTATCATAATAAACAAGATGGAAGAAATAATACAACCTGCATCTGAATGAACTGATGGCCACTGACCATCAGGATAACACTGATAGCTCTGAAAGGAGGTCACATTAGATTCTTAGAATCCAGTCCCCCGGCCCTCCTGCCATGCTCTTCCTGTGTGATACAATGACTAATACAATCCAGTCCTTTTGCCTTTTATAGCACCTTGACAAAAGGATGAAAAAAATTTCCTGTTACATATACTTGATAATCGTTACTTATCTTTGACCTGTACATATGAAGATATATTTTCTTTTAATTAAAAAAAAATCATTTTATTGGGGGCTCATACAACTCTTATCGCAATACACATATGCATCTGTTGTGTCAAGCACATTTGTACATTTGTTGCCATCATCATTTTCAAAACATTTTCTTTGTACTTGAGCCCGTGGTATCAGCTCATTTTCCCCCCTCCCTCCCTCATGAACCCCTGATAATTTATAAATCATTATTTTTTTCATGTCTTACACTGACCTGTCTCTCTTCACACACTTTTCTGTTGTCCATCAGGGTTATATGTAGGCCAGTGTGATTGGTTCCTCCTTGCTTCCCCCAACTTCCTCTTACCCTCCTGCTGGTATTGCTTACTCTCATTATTGGCCCTGAGGGGTTTATAGGTCCTGGATTTCATATGTTTCCAGCTCTTCTCTGTACCCGTGTACATGCTCTGATTTACCTGGATTTGTAAGGGAGAATTGGGGTCAGGATAGTGGGGTGAGGAAGCGTTAAAGAACTAGAGCAGTGGTTCTCAACTTTCATAATGCCGCAACCCTTTAATACAGTTCCTCATGTTGTGGTGTTCCCCCCCCCCCACCATAAAATTATTTTCGTTGCTACTTCATAACTGAAATTTTGCTACTGTTATAAATCGGGTGACTCCTATGAAAGGGTTGTTCAACCCGCAAAGGTTGCCACGACCCACAGGTTGAGAACTGCTGAACTAGAGGAGAGTTGTATATTTCATCAGTGCTATATTGCACCCTGACTGGCTCGTCTCCTCCTTGTGACCCTTCTGTAAGGGGATGTCCAAATGTCTATAGATGGGTTTTGGGTTGCCACTCTACACCCCTCCATTCACATTGATATGAATTTTGTTTCTTTTAATGTTTTAACCTTTTTTGTGTATTTGAAGAATGCATCCTATTCCTCAAGAAGCCTTGTGGTGCAGTGGTTTCATGTTGGGCCGCTGACCAAAAGGCTGGTGATGAGACCCTCTCGCTGCTCCACGCACAGCTCGATGCCAGTCTGGTTCCATAAAGGGAAAGCCCTAGGGAGCAGTTCTAGTCCAAAGTTCTACGCTAGGGTCTCTGTGAGTAGGAATCCCACTCCTTGTGATTCTTTTTCTAGTTAGAATGTTGGCTTTCTTTGGCTATTCTGTTGGGCATGGTTTCCAGACGTTTTGCTATCTTTGTTTTCCTCATGATCCTCTTAAGTTTTGAATGCCAGACGCTAACTTTCATTTTGGTAAGCACACCACATTATTGGTGTTTGGGTGAGATGACTAAAACCTCAGCCACTTATATGTAGATGTAGCAATTGTTACACAAGATTTCCTCTCTCTCACTGCCTTGGAGTCAGTGCCAATTCATAGTGACCTTACAGGACAGGGTGGGACTGCCCCTGTGTGAGTCCCTGGGATGGTAAATTTTTATGGGAGCAGAAAGACTCCTCTTTTTCCTGAAAATTCCCTTTAGGGTGTACTTACTTTAGGTATAGTTTGTTTGTAAGGGTGTAGTTTATACTTTTTTTTAATCTAATAGTTCTGAATTTCTTCCAATATTAGCTTACTGTTTTGTTCTGTTAGATGCTGTAGAATTTTATTTAATGATCCTACTTGGGGGCTTTGTGGAGAAATGGAACTGAAAGGTGAGACTGAATTTCCCCAATTTTTTGGAAGCACTCATATATACATTAGCCGCTGATAAATGCCGCTTGGTTTTATCTGCAAGTGAAGTATGTCTTTTGTCGTAACCATTAATAACAGTGACGTCAGGTCAAATACAGAAATCTCTGGAGGCCTCTTTCTGCCGACCTCCAACGCTTGTTGTTGTTGCGCAACAATTTTGTCTCCATTTCCTGTTAAGGGTCTTGTTTAAAATTTCCCAGATACTTTCTTGAGACGTGTCATAAAACACTCCTCTTAGCAAAACAGTGATGAGAGTTGTTTTCTTCCTGGCTGTGTTTTCGTTTCTTCATGGAGATCGTTGCTGCCAAGATCCACTGAATGACTCCCACCACAGCCAATTTTAGTTGATCAGTCTGGAGTACTGAGCACAGAGTTTGGGAGAGATGCATCCCCTAAAAAACACCACAGTTATCTCTTGATTTGATTTACAAAGGATTTGAGGATTTAAAACAAAAAACAAAACCAAAAAACTTAATGCAACAAGATTAAAGAGCTGTTGAATATTTAAGGAAAAGGAAACTAAGAATCAGTTTAGTAGTGGTCACAGCATCAGGCCCGAGAAAGTAGACTTCATGCCACCGGGTATGGATGTCTCTTCTTGGTCCTTCTTCCGTCTTGCAGGGGTCAAGTTGTGGGTCTTGTCCCGCAGACTCTTGGAGCAACTGGGTACCTGAGCAACTATGAACTTAGCACAAGTGTCCAATGTGGAGAAGTGTAACCTGCTGCCGGAAGTATTATCTGGGCGGGGCTTGCTTTTCTGCCTTTCTTCTGGTTGGTCACCATCTTCTGGTTCTTCCGAGATGCCTTCCTTGCCCCTGCTTACATGGAGCAGAGCCCGATCAAGAGTTGTATCTGGCGCTCAGCTGTGGGCTTCCTCTTCTGGGCATTTGTGCTCACCACTTTGGATTACCGCCTTCCAGATCTACTGACCCCCCTGCGGTGCCTTTGGGGCCCACCTCTCTGTCACCATAACTCTGGACAGCCCTGGAGACCTCCTGCACAGGCCAGGAGGTTTGCTTATTCTCCCAGGATGGGTTCATCTGTTCAAAGTTCCCTCTCAAACCCACTAAGACTTACTTTCCTCTCCCGTGATCTCTGTTGGTATCTTCCAATAAAGGACCTTGATTCTCAAATAATAATAAAAGGGTTAGCAGTATATGAAATAAATGCTATCACAAGGCTTTGAATGGGTGCTATAGACGAACTAAGGGTTTGGCCAAAGCAAAGAGGAAGAGCAATCATAGTGTCCATGGTGGACCTTAGATGAAAGCAGCTCAGCAGCTCAGGGGTAGTAATAGTTTCTTTGAGGCCAAAGGGATCAGTGAACAACAATGAGCGAAGAAGAATCAAGAGCATTCTTGTGAGAGTAGAATGACAATACTTAACTATTTCCTGAAATAGCCGATAATGCCGTTACAATTTTAGAATAACTTATCTTGGATGGATTGGCAATTTTGGATCTATAATACATTTGAAATAAACGGTAAAGAGTTTGCATGTTACTTAAACTGTTTAGAAAGTAGATTCTACCTGCATCATTAGGAGGTTGCTGGTAAAGAAACCAATGAGGTATTTACAAGATTCTAAATATGGAATAATTAGGACTTAGCCAAGGTAATAGCTGCAGATTTATTTATAAAGAGAATCCATATGTGAGATTTAATAATAGGCCACTTGTTGAGAACAAGTAAAAAAGACAACTTGCAGATAGCTATTGTACGTCCAGAGACCTGGTAGACCAGTGCAAACCTTCCCTTTGTTCTGACTTCATCTTTCACTCAGTGAGTTTTTGTGCCATCCTTTCCCAGCTCTTTGAATGTCGACTCTGGGGAGATTAGATTAGGGACTTACAGAGATGACTAAGACATGACTTCTGTCTTTAAAATGGTACTAAGATTTCTACCCATACTCTCTCTGGCTGGCCTCACTGTTTTAATTGCTTTTGAACCCAGTTAGCTTCTGGCTTTGAATAGAGCTTTCTCTCATTCTTTATTCCTCTTCAGTGGGGTTGCTCAACTTAAAGACAGGTAAGGAAAGAATGTAGAGTCACTATCAAATGCTGAGATTCTAGTCTCCTTATTACTGTCCTCGCTCCCACTTCTGAGTTTTTCTCTTGCTCCTCTTGGGCACAGAGGTGCTAGTGTTAACTCCTCTCCGCCCACCTTTCCCTAGAGTCCATGCGTGCCGGTGCCTCCTACAAACGACAGAATGAAGGAAAGCCAGAAAAAGGTGAGTTTTGAGCTAGAATCTAATTTGGGATTGTGAAGGCATGGGGGGCTTGGATTGATAGAAGTAACTGCTCTATCAATCTATCTTGAGAACTAGAATTGAAGTATAGTAGAGCCACACAGTGTTTGAGCAGAGGTGTGGGCTAGCCATTTGTGGTCAGAAATACTGGCTGACAGGAGCTTAGATTTATAGAATAAGGGACATAGGCAGATAGGCCCTGCCAGCAGTAGAACCAGCTATTTCAGTCTCTTCTGTGTGCTGTGCTTCCTGCTGCCATTTGTATCATCTGTTTTCTTTGCTTCTTGCCTGTCCTTCCTCCCCATGCAACAGTTATGTATGGGTACACTAGGATTATGATAAACAGGTATGTATGGGTACACTAGGATTATGATAAACAGGTACGTATGGGTATACTAGGATTATGATAAACAGGTACGTATGGGTATACTAGGATTATGATAAACAGGTACGTTTGGATATACTAGGATTATGATAAACCACCTCCCCACCCTTCAATGTTTCTTTGCTTCCGCACACTGGGAGTCCTTAAAATATGCTTAGATGAGCCCTTAGGCAGCTGAAATTAGAAAATGTTCTCAGACTACACGCGCAGACTATGCTTGGCATAACTGCAATGCTGGTGTGTTATATTTAAAGAAAACAATTAGCAAGATTAACTGCTCTTTGTGAAAGGTGGGGTTATTTTGGGTTGTTGTACTTTAGATGTGTCTAGATTGCAGGAGGCCATTGAATCTTGAAGGTGGAAAAATACGATTCACAGATTCACCTAAATGTTGAATTTTCAAAATCTTGAGTTAGATAGGTCATGGGTTATTCAGAAATCAATGAAGCATGCATGATGCTTGCTTTTCTTAAGAAGCTTTACGTATATAGTGGGATAGAGTTACACTGTCACAGTATGATGTGGGTTTGCCAAGTACAATAGTAATACAGTAAGGAATAATGAAATAAACCACATTCCTTGTTATTTGGCAACGTAGTCATTGCTTCTATCAGTTTTGTTGATTTTTAAGTCTTCATGAACCTTTAAGCTTGCTTAGTGTAAAAATTCTCTCAAGGGACCTTAATTTAAAATGTCCTAGAGTTAGCTGATATCAAGGGCTTAAGTGGAGAACAAATATTTGGAGAATTATGAGGGCAACAAATGTACAAATGTGCTTGACATAATTGATGTATGTATGGATTGTGATAAGAGTTGTATGAGCCCCCAGTAAAATAATTTAAAAATCTCTCTCTCTCTCTCTCTCTCTCTCTATATATATATATATATATATATATATATCTCCTAGAATTATGTTGTAGTGTTTTTTAAAAGACTGGACACTTCAGAGTTGGAAAACAGCCTTAGAGCAGAGCTGCTCAAGCTTAGTGTTGCTGACATTTGACACCAACCATCATTCCATCCTTTGTTGTAAGGGTGTGTGTCCTGTACATTATAGGGTGTTCAGTAACATCATTGGCCTCCACTTCCATGACATTGCACTCTGCCCGGGTGATCATCACAACTGTTTCCATACATTGCCAGCTGTCCTGGGGGATGTGGAAGTTGGAGAGGAGCTGCAGATTTGTTCCCAGTAGAGAACCAATGATATTGAAAAAGGGTTTTCAAAAGATGTGATTCACCATTGGTTTAAGTTTTCCTGGCCCGTACTTTGAAAGTATCTTGGCTATGATAGCTTGTGCTTAAGATGGATTTTGACTGAGTAAGGCTTTGCCTAAGTTTCAAGGTTTTTGTCTCAGCTTTTGCTCTTGACCGCTTTCCTGGCCGAATTAACCCACTGTGCAGTCTTGACTGGCTTCTTTGTGTCTCTTACTGGGGTGTGCCACTTTCTCTCTTGCGCAGTGTTACCTTTTGTCAGTTCTTAGTAGCAATGAGCAGTAGAGGAGATATGGTATATTTTGAAACAAATGGACAATTTAATGAAATATTTTTCCCATCAGTAACAGCTCAGTTATTAATGTTTAAGATGTTTAAGTGTATTTTTTTGGGTTGTGGTTGAACCTTCTAAAGGAATTTGTTTAAATGTATTTTTAAATTTGAATGCATTTCAGTAACTAATAGTGTTCATATGATAATACTATGTGGGTGACTGAGATAATGAAAGATAAAGATCTGACTTTACAAGAGGGTACCCCCCCAAAACCCGGAATTGCGTTGGGCGGGGCAGAGCTTCCATAGGATGCATTTTTCCTGCTAGGCGAGCATCCAGCAACTTCCTCTGTGTTAATGCACCTAGTGGTGTCGCCTGGGAAGGTTCTCTCTGGTTATAGTGAATTTTTTTGTAAAAGCATTGCCTCACGAACCTCGTTTTTTTGTGATGGCCGATTTAAGAGAATAGTGTGTGGCTGTGAAATTTTGTTTCCTGCTCGGGAAAAATGTCGCAGAAACTGTTGTGATGTTGAACACAGCTTACAAGGACAGTGCTATGGAAAAAAACTCAAGTGTACGAGTGGTTTTTTCGTTTCAAAAAAGGTGAAACGTTGGTTGATGACAAACCTCATTCAGAACACCCGTCACCTTCCCAAATGAACGAACGAAAATATCAACTCGTAGTGCATTTGGAGTTCGTTTCACCAGGTCAGACTGTTAATCAAGCTTTCTATTTAGAGGTTCTGAAATGATAGCTTAACAATATGTAGTATAAAAGGCGTGGTTTGTGGCAGATGGGGCACTGGTTTTACCACCACAACAAAGCAACTGCCATCTCAATGTGCCAGTTTTTGGCAAAAAACAGCATCCCTCTCTTGTCCCATGCTATGACTTCTTTTTGTTTTCTCGAATGAAGAGGGACATGATGGATTGAAAATACAGAGGTGAGGAAAAAAAAAAACACGAGGGAGGTGCTGTCACCCATCTAAACTGATGAGTTCGAAAAACGTTTCTAAGAATGGAATTGCAGATTTGACAAATGTATTAAGTGTAATGGAGAGTACTTTAAAGATGATATGGTTGTTTTGTAAAACAGTCTAAATACATAGCTTTGGAGGGAAAAAAAATTCCGGTTTTTGGGGGGCACCCCCTTGTAGTTTACACAAAATTGTTTTATTCATTTTATCAGCATTTTAGTTCTCATATAGGACCAGCACTGGATAAGTATATTGATAATTTCCTAGTTTTTAAATTTTTTACACTGCCTAGGCAATTGAGGAATACCTGCTAAATTAATACGTGACTTCTCTCTCTGAGGGTGAAAGAGGAAGCTTTTACGCTCATTAGGAGTTGCAGGCTCAGAAACTCACAGGGGCAATTCTCTACCCTGTTCTATGGGTCTCTGAGTTGGCATCGACTTGATGCCAGTGGGTTTGTTTTTTGGTTTTCTCTCTTGAGACCATTCCTCATTTGCCAGTTCTCTTTGGTGGATGGCAACTGTATACTAACTACCTTTGGATTTTTATTATGCTTATTCAAATTTGCCTTTTAGGAACTTGGGAGGTATATTCGTGATATAAAAATGGCTTTTGTTTTTCATGGACTCTTCTCGTGTTTGTTAACCATGATAGTATAGGCTAGGCTGCCAACGTCTGATTTATTTGATGGCACCCAGCACCTGAGAGAAATAAGTCATTTTAAATACTAACAGTTTTAATTTAGTAATGTGACAAAAAGTTCAACACTAAGTACTTAAGTCCCTCATTAATACAGTTGTAAAATCACTGTAATCGAAAACCAATGTACTAAAAATTGTACTTTGTAATTTTCATACAGGTAAAGAGAGACCTGTTCAGCCATTGAAAACTTCAAGAGATACTTCCCCCTCAAGTTCAGCAGTCTCTTCATCAAAGGTTTGTTAGAGTTCGTAAATCAGTATAGGAAAGATTGCAGCAGAAATGAGATGCCTGTATTCTTTACTGTCGTTTCTAAAGGGGATAATTTACTTTGTTTAAAAACTTTAATTTTAAGTAACCACAATTTGAAAGTAGCTAGCCAAGTAAATGAGGAGTTTCCTTGTAAAGTTAGCACCCCAGTGCATGGTAAAATTAGTGTATAATACTGTCCTTGCTTATCTGTAATCTAATCAGGTAGGAGTGAATATTCACATGAAGGATATTTAATACACTTATTTTGGGAGTTGGGGGTTTGCAAAAAGTCATCTCACATCCTTTGGCTTCCCTGTTGCCATGTGGCAGAGGTCAGACATGCCTCCCTCCTCTGTCTTTCATCATGTAGCCTGACACCAACTGTTCTTCTCACACCACTCTGCTTCTCTTCCGGATTCATTAACTCATTGCAGTGGCTACGAAGAACTCACAAACAATACTCAAAAGTATAAGGGGGTTTATTAGGGAAGTGAACAGATTACCACAAGCCAGGATCAGAAAACATTCAAAACATATATAGTTGTTGGCACATAGCAGTCTTTCTTTTCAGCCAGCAACTGAGTCTCTCTCTAGTCCTTAGCTTCTCAGTCTCGTGGCCTCGGCCCCTCCCTGGGCCAGGAATCCCAGCTGCTGCTCTGCCTCCCAGTCTCAGTCTCAGCTCTGCTCTGTCTCCTTGCCTCCACCTCTGGCAGTTGTGGTGCCTGCTACACTTTAGGTAGGAGTAGTGAATGTGGTCAGCTAGTAACGCTTCTTCCTTATTGGTTCTAGGAATACTCTTTCTCTGTTGTTGTTGTTTTTAAATAATTTTATTGGGGGCTTGTACAACTCATCACAATCCATACATCCATCCATTGTGCCAAGCACACTCATACACTTGTTGCCGTCATCATTCTCAAAACATTTGCTTTCTATTTGAACCCTTCATATCATCTCATTTCCCCCCTTCTTCTTGAACCCTTGATAATTTATAAATTATTATTATTTTGTCATACCTTACACTGTCTGACATTTCCCTTTACCCACATTTCTGTTGTCTATCCCCCAGGGACGAGGTTATATGTAGATCCTTTTAATCGGTTCCCCCTTTCTACCCCACCTTCCCTTCACCCTCCTGGTATGGCCACTCTCACCACTGGTCCTGAATGGATCATCTGTCCTGGATTCCGTGTGTTTCCAGTTGCTATCTGTACCAATGTACATCCTCTGGTCTAGCCAGATTTGTAAGGTAGAATTGGGATAGTGGAGGGAGGAAACATTTAAGAACTAGAGGAAAGTTGTATGTTTCATCATTGCTACCGTGCACCCTGACTGGCTC